GTGCACAACGCGCGTACACTTTGCTTATTACACACACAGGGACGTGCAGCAGCACACAAACATTTTTAAAAATGAAAAATTACATTCCGCCATGTAAATAGCGAACCCGCCATGGCGCGAGCGCAACTGGCTTTTAAAGGAGATGAGACTCTGATTGGTTTATTGCACGTTACGCCCAAAAAACACCCATTACTCATTAAGAGAATAGGGACAACCCGTTTAGATCATGCGCCTGGGCGCGCCGACCGTTTTCCCGTCGTTAAACTAGCAAAAGTGGATTCGGACACGCCCTGAGTGCACCTGCGCCGTGCGCTTATATCGTTAAAATAGGGCCCTAAGTTTGCACTCAAGTCTATTCTTTCTTATTCGTAAAGTACATTACTTCTATACTAAGTACTCTTTTTTTTTTCCACAAGGGATGTGGGATTAAGCATTAAAATTGGCTTTCTGGTTGTTGTTTTTTTTTGGCTAAATAGTGTAGAAAGTAGTTTGGACCCTGGTGGTCACTTGCATGTTGCATCTTCTAAATAAGATTTTTCCATAATTTTCTTGATTCTTGACACTATTCTTTCAGAGTCCTGCTCAAATGTCGTATGTCCTGGGACGCATACCTGCGTGACGGACCAGACCAACAGTGCCCACTGCGTCATGTGCCGCACTGCACCCTGCCCGATGCCCATGGTCACTGAGAAAACCATCTGCGGCAATGATAACATCACTTACCCCAGTGCCTGCCACCTGCGTAGGGCTACCTGTTTTTTGGGTCGATCCATAGGGGTCCGCCATTATGGACACTGCAGAAGTAAGTTTTTACACACCTGCAAGATTCTGATATATCCACATTGGACTTGTTGAACTCATTTTAACATTGTGTCTTACAGGTAATGAAGGAAGTGAGGAGAATTCACTCTTCTGAGGATGTCGAGAGCAGATCCACTCCCTGAACATATTATGATGGCACATAAGACGTGAGAGAACCTGTTTGAAACCATATAGTCTCACAACACGGTTCTCAGTTCCAAAGAACCACTACTAGTATTTTATACGCATGCAATTCATACATAAAGAAAATGTGTGGTTTTAACAGGAGAACTGAACTGATGAATTGACAGTGTGCATATTGTAAATATACTACAAGCTACTATTTATTGGAGAAAAGTAAGGAAGTCAGTGTTATTTATGTGTTAACACCATATATCCGTACATCAGCTGCCTTTATCAAGGTATTTATTGTGGGTTTTGCTTCCGTTTTCATGTAAACGTCAAAACTGAATAATGTAAACATGCACATTCCCATACCTATGAATTTCCTCATGATTACTGGATAAAAATTTCTATTTTTTTTCCACAAAGAGCTATTTCTTGTCAATTAAATATTTTAGAACATAACATTTGATGTTTTTAATATTTTATATTATTTGTATGCGTTTTATTATTATATTAACTGTTAATTCCCATGGTTTTCCAGACCTGGAAATGATCATTTTAAAACATTTGACTAGTTTTCTAAGACAGTGGGAACCTTGACATGAGCACTCTGTATGCCAGACAGAGTATATCAGCATTGTCAGCCATGAGCTTTTTGACAACTCTACTATGAACAAAGCATATAGAATATTAACCAGCAAAAACGATGACCAAACATCACTGAAATATCTTCTTGAACATTCCTAAGTTCAGCTTTCCCAAAAACGTGCCTCTCTGCGAAAGCCATGTGGAGTCACAGTTGAAATTCTTATGGACATGGGAGACTACTTACTCATTGAGATAAAGTGTTGTGCATGTACTGTTTGTATTCAGAGGGATTACTCAGCCAAAACAGCTACGCTTCCAGACCGTATTCACACTGACATGAAGACCAAACTGTGCCACCCACCAAGCAATGAAATTACCAGCTAAAGTCTGATGGCAGCAGTTTTTTACGAGGATGCTGGGACAGTCAAATAATGTACAGTACATTCTACTGTTGTAATGGTTTTCACATTGTCGGGTTGTGTTTTTGTCATTTTGTGTGTGTTTGAGTTTTATGGTCGCTTGACCTTGTTGTATACTTAAATGGTCATAAGGAGAATTTCAGTGACTAGGTGTTTTATCTGATTCCCAGTAAATCGTGTTATGCAAAAAAGAAGCAGATAATTTGGTAGATGCAGATATTTGTGCACATCATTGTACAAGTTTGTTCCATGCATTCCTATCAGTAGATATTTAACCTTCCTGTAAATAGAGACCTTTTGCAGTATCTGAATATATACTGTAAAATTCAGTTTATTCAATTGCATATTTTTGTATTGTTTACTTACATTTGTTTTTATTAAAACACAAAATGAATGTTGTGTTAATATGATTCTAATGGTTCTTGCTGATTCATGTTTAAGATTTTGAAGCCCAATTCATGTCATTCAGTTTGACAAATTGATAAAACAATTAAACAATCAATTGTTTAAATACACAGATAAAACAGATTTTTATTTATAGATTTCCCTATACTGCATTAAAATGTCTAGAAACATATTTCTTGCCAATGAAACATTTGAGAATATTTCTAGTATGTTTCTATGAAATATGATGTGGTAAATATTTAATATTAGTTTGTTTCTATTATAATTATAATTATTATTTACTTGGGACATGGAAATTATAATTTTAAAACATTTCCCTAGTTTTGTATATTTTGTTTAAGATATTTCAACCTTACTGCAAATAGAGACCTTCTGCAGTATCTAAATACATACTGTAAAACTGAATTTATTCAATTGCATATTTTTTTATTTTTCACTTACATTTGTTTTCATTAAAACATTTTACTGTGTTAATATGTGTCTCATAATTGTTGATGATTCATGCTTAAGATTTTGGCCAAATTCATGTCATTCAATTTGAGAAATTGTTAAAACAATTAGGCCTAAACAGTTGATTGTTTAACTACACAGATATAATAAATTCAAAAGATTAAAATAATTTTATTTCAAGTTAGTTTTAAGTTTTGCAAATGCTAATAATATCATAAGAATGTTAGAATTAAAAATATTTATTCCTAATTTGTCAAAATGAAGAGCATTTTTTAAATGTGTCAAGTCTCTCAGTATGAGTCCCCAGGTGGCCATTGCAACATCATGGTATTGTGCAAAACACTCCAAAAAAAATGAGTTCTTAATTCAAAGAATTTACTCTCAATAGTCTTTTTAAAGTCCCCATGAAATCAAAATTAAAGTTTTTTGGGTGTTAGTATCAATATGTTAGTCTTAAGGTTATCTATAAGGCAGTGTGCTCCAAAACAGTGACAAAATTCGCATTTAGAAGATATAAGCATTCTGCGTGTTTCTAAACATTTCAGGGGACCTTTAAGTATTTAAAGGAGTCATATGATGTTGCTAAAAAGAACATTATTTTGTGTATTTGGTGTAATGAAATGTGTTTATGCGGTTTAAGGTTAAAAAAACACATTATTTTCCACATACTGTACATTATTGTTTCTCTTCT